ATGGGACCAGGTCTCCCACGCTCACATTCTCGGGGCTAGCAAACCTGTACCCTCAACAGGGTCAGCTCCTCCCAAAGGTGCAGGGACGGCTTTCCCGAATGTTGCAGCTGCTAAAGGGGTCAGCTCCCTAGTCCGCTGGAGGTGGTAGGGGAAAAGGTAAGACCACTGGTCCCTCACCTCTTCCATCATACTGAAGACAAGGGAGGCTATTCTAGATATGCTGTTTTCACACCCTCAAGGCTGGCTTACCCACATCCCTGTCTGGGTGACCCACAGTAGGGTCACCTCTACTGTGCTGCCAAGGTGAGGAGCAGGGCCTGTTCTCCCAAGTGCTGCAGCTGCTGAGGGTTTGGGTCAGGTCCCCACCTGCTGGAGGTGTCAAGGAGTGAGGGGGGGGCATCTTTCCCTCACTCATGCCAGCACATGGCAGACAAGAGGGGTGCAATCTGCTCTCCCGCTCTCATGCCCTTGGGGTCTGATCGCCCATGCCCCACCCCTGTGAACAGGGTCAGCTCTACTGTGCTGCCCAGGTGAGGTATAGAGCCCTCTCTCCTGAGTGCTTCAGTCGGTGAAGGGCAGGATCAGTTCTCCCTAGTGTTGCAGCTAGGGAGGGGCGGGACCAGCTCTGTACAGACCTATCCCCTCTGGCTTTTGCGGTATCTAGGACATTGGCCATCAACACAGACTGTTGCTGTATATGGGCCAGCAGCCCAGGTCCAGACATCACCATGTCACTGAGTGTCAATCAGCCAGCCCTTCACTGCTTTCACTTCAGATATACTTCTGTCCACAAGAAATGATCCCCCCCCCCCGAAACATACTGTAAATATGTTCACCATGACAGTGCCCCATTTGCCTTGTGCCACTGGCCCATGTTTTCTCCTCACAGACTGGGGTGGGCTTTCGTGTGGGTCTCTTTGTCTCACTCACTGAGTCATGGCGCTGGGCAGGAGCATGCTTCTTCCTCTGATCCCAGGGTGGTCTACCCCAGGCCTGCTTGTGGGCCTCTTTGCCCTGCTCAGTCTGTCATAGTGCCGTGCCTGTCCTATTTACTTGGAGATTGGTTCTATAAAATTGTCCTCTAGACTAATTCTTTTATTAGGAAGAAATTATATTTAAATGCTGGGGACCAGACTACTTCTGTACCCTATTTAACCCCAAACACAGTTTTCTAACCAATGGAAGTTCACCAGGGCCTTCCATCTTCTCTGCTTTCAAGTATCTCCCACTTATTAACCAGTCTGCTTGGGATACATTAAAGTCAGGTAGAGTCTCACATATTGCTTCTGTTTTCATCAGATTGAGAGATCCATCTTATTTCCCATGTATGTTTCAAAGCTTTGAGAGCATTCTAACACATTACTACAAGTTCCTGAATACTAGTATCTTTAGCCCCATTCATTTTCCATATAAAATCCCCATTCTTCCTATCTCAGTGTATGTACATTTTCATGTGATTTCAGGCTCACATGTGTCACAGTGCATGTGTGTGTAGGTCACTGGATAACCTCAGGTGTTGTGTCACACTTTTCCCCTTATTTGAGACAAGATCACTTGTGGTTCCTGTGGTTTACCCCAGGGCATCTGTCCTGCAAGCTCCTAGGAGTTCTCTTGTCTCTGCCTCCATTTCACCTAAGAGTTCTAGAACTGCAGGTATGCACTAGACCAGTCAGCTTTAGGGATTCACAGAGACTGAAGCAGTAATCACAGAGCCTGCATGGGTCTGCACTAGGGCCTCTGCACGCATGCTGTGGTTGTCTAGCTTGGGGTGTTTGTGAGATGCCTAACAGTGGGAGTGGGACTGTCTCTGAATCCTTTGCCTGCTCATGGGATCCTTTTCATATTACTGGGCTGCCTTGTCCAGTCTTGAAATGAGGGTTTGTGTTTAGTCTTATTGCATCTTGTCATGCCATGTTATGCCATGGTGGGATTAAATGTGTGCACCCCCACTGCCTAGCTGACAGCCATTCTTTTTTTTTTTTTTAAGAAGATAAGTTTGTATTTATTTACAGAAAACTTAGCGGTGAGTGTACATTTAACCCAGTTTAGTAGCGAGTTCTTTAGCTTTTGCCTTTTCCAGCTTGACAATTCGAGCCACAGATTTAGGACCCAGGACATTGCCTCCTCAGCGGCGTCGGATCTCATCATATCTGTCGTCGTAATTGGTCCTAATAGCTTCCACCAGCTTAGCCAGAGCACCCTTGTCTTCCGAGTTAACCTGTGTAAAGGCAACGGTGGTACATGTTTTCCTGTGGACCAGTCGTCCCAGCCTGGCTTTTCCCTTGATGATGCAGTAGGGGACCCCCATCTTCTGACACAGGGCAGGCAGGAAGACCAGCAGCTCAATGGGGTCTACATCGTGGGCAATTACCACCAGCTGAGCCTTCTTGCTCTCCATCAAGGTAGTGACTGTATTGACTCCTGCTTGAAGAACAGGTGGCCTCTTACCTTTGCCTTTGCCAGCAGCCTTCTTCTCAGCACGGGCCAACAGTCTTTGCTTCTTTTCCTGCTTTGTCTCTGGCCTGTACTTGTGGGCAAGCTTGAGCAGCTGGGTAGCTGTTTGCCGGTCCAGGGCCTGGGTGAATTGGTTAATGGCAGGAGGAACTTTAAGCCGCTTATAGAGGATGGCCCTTTGCCGCTGCAGTCGAATGTATCGGGGCCATTTGACGAAGCGTGTGAGATCTCGTTTGGGCTGGATGTCCTGCCCAATGCCGAAGTTCTTAGGCCTTTTCTCAAACAAAGGGTTCACCACCTTCTTGGCCTCCTGTTTCTTCATGACAGCAGGGGCCGGGGCCACCTTCTATCCCTTGGCTTTCTTTCCCTTGGTCATCTCACACACACACACACACACACACACACACACACACACACACACACAGAGAGAGAGAGAGAGAGAGAGAGAGAGAGAGAGAGAAAGAGCAACAGCCATTCTTGATATCTCTAAGTACTCTGCGGTTAAGTGACATTTCCTTGTTCTATGATATTGTAGCATTCATGATACTCCTATAAGTTCTCATTTTATTTATTCATCTGAGATATCACCTTTGAGATTAATAATCATCAGATAAAGTTAATTACATCTTTTGTATCCTTATTTATTAATCCATACATATTAATGTTCTGAAGAAGAAATTCACTCTGTTGATGAATAAATAGGTTTCTTCCCAAGCAGTGAATATGTTAAACACTACTGATAGATTTTTTTTTCCTACCAAGAACAGAACAGATGGTGGGACACGCTGGACTGTAGGTGTTCTCCCTGATACAGACAACCCTTTTCTGAAGATTCTTATCGTCTAAGTCAATTAAGTATATTAAACTAGTACAAACAATGATAGTTCCATAAGGGAATTCATTTGGTAATTACTTCGGTAGTTGAGAACTACTTGTACTTTATGTTTTGTTGTTGTTTTGTTTGTTTGGCAGTCAGGGCTATAGAGTGGATACCTACTATTATAGTGCTCAACATAATCTTGAACAACAGGTATTTATCCAAAAGGGTCTATTGTAATGATGTGGAGAAACGACATCTTTCTGGGTATTTTTTTAGTCCATCATGTGATGTCCTAGTTTTTTTCAAATTTTTATTTGACAAATAAACATCCAATAAAGAAAAAATGGTGAGATGATAGAATCGTGATTTTATTTTCATGACAACTCAAATAGAGAATATTTGTATATTGTTATGTTTTTGTTTAAATTAGATATAAAGAAAAAGAGGAGGCACAAGATGAGACATATTAACCAGTTTATTATTAGGCCCGGGAGAGTAGAGAGATTGAGAGAGAAGAGAAACAGAGTTAATGGCTGACCGCCATGGCTGGTTGCCATAGAGAGAGAGAGAAGAGAAGCAGAAGCAAACAGAGAGGGAAGAAGAAGCAGAGCGAGAGTGAAGCAGGGAAGTTGGAACTTTTAAAGGGAAGACTGCGCATGTGCACTGAGGTTCCACGCATGCCCAGAGTCCTTATGCAGGATGTAAATGCATGGTGGGTAATGTGGTGATGCCATGTCCCTGTGCGGGACCTGACTGTTGTCAGGGAGCGGAGTCTGTCTCTTAAAGAGGTAGAGCCAATCAGCATTAAAGCCTGAACCTTTCATATATGGTTAACTGCAACCATATAGGGCAAGAAGCAATAAAGTGTCTTGCTTGATCAAACTCACCACGAGGTTATTGGTGACTGTGTGAGAAAGTAAAGAAGTAGGGTACAGAAAAGTATCTTCAGTTTAGATTTTTTTCTTTTTTTAAATTTAAATTAGAAACAAGCTTCATTTGCATGTCAATCTCAGTTCCAGGATAGCTCAGCCATTAAAGACTAGGCTCACAACCAAAAATTTAAGAGTTCAGTTTAGATTTTATACTTGCAGAATTAGAGATGCTTAAAAGATATCAAAACAAATCCTCAACATTAAAACACCGCTATTTAAATCAAACATGATGGTATATACCGGTAATCCCAGATCGAGGAGATAGATGAAGGAGGATCAAATGACTTTAAGAATAGGCTGAGCCAGGTGTTGGTGGTGCACGCCCTTAATCCCAGCAGAGGCAGAGGCAGGTGGATCTCTGTGAGTTCGAGGCCAGCCTGGTCTCCAGAGCGAGTGCCAGGATAGGCTCCAAAGCTACACAGAGAAACCCTGTCACGGAAAACCAAAAAATAAAAAAAAGAAGAAGAAGAAGAAAAGAATAGGCTGAACTACATAGTGAGGCCGAGTTTACACAGGGTTCTTTGACCAGACCTTTTCTTTAAAAACGCAGTACAACAAAACAAAGTAGCCAGCAAGCT